TGCGACCTAGCAACGCGTGTTAGTGTAGAACGCGTGTCATTGTACGTGTGAAAATAAAATAATCAGACGTCTAATTTGAGTCATTGTCCGAATAAATAACTCGTGGATGTTTAAGCGCGGTGGTCGTCGTTCGAATTTCATGTAAATAAACAATGTATTTTACACGCGTTGTATACGTCGCTATGAGTCCCATATCGAACAGAACGCGGCACGACGACTGTCGCCCTTTAGTTGGGAACACGACAGAACCAGAACTTAAACTGGGCGACTACGATACACGGTTTATGTTGAAGTTAAAAGTTCCTCCACTGATGGAATGACTTTCGTTGACATCGGTCGTCGCTGACGGCGTTAAAGTTAATATATGTATACAATTACAGAGGAGTAACCATAGCAAAACATGGCATTGACAGGCAGTGAAAGAGTGAGTGACCTGAGTGAAAACATGGCATTGACAGGCAGTGAGAGAGTGACCTGAGTAAATGATAGGATAGTTTATAGCGTTGTAGCTTCTTACACGTGTTTGCCAAGGATACAACAGTTTTATAAATAACAAGATAACGTGTTGAGACAATAATATTATTTTTACCCGGTATGCCATTACAAAATGCCCACTGCGTAAACCACAAATAGTTTCTTTCATGTGATACCTTTGACTTATATCTATATTATGAGTTTAACTATAAACAAAACAACACGAGATTCAATCAAATGTCTTACCGAAATCATTTTACATTCGGTTAACATTATATGTTAACTGGCCTTTAAAATTAGTTTCCTCCAGAAAGCTGCATAATGTCCGATTGGCGCTATGCGAGTTTCGTATGCTGTTAGATTACGTCAATGACGATGCAAGATCGTTCGAAGCTCGAGCATGACGCGAACCGTCAACGAATCATCTTTACCTAATTTGTACAGTGTACCTGCACGTTTCCATGACAATAACAGTCAAATATTTACTTTCAAACACTTGGTGTTATATCGAAAGGATATCTGAAAGACTGCCTTAGTTTTATTTTTAACAACCAACTACCAACAATTGTGTAATTGTGTATTATCGTAAAACGACCGTTCATATACGCAAATCGTTGGCCATATCATCTAGACAACACTGTTTATGCTTTTTCATTCCTTCACGCGCCAATGTGGAATTAAATGTATTCGTTATGACAATGAAAGATTCGTAATTGTGACACCAAAATACTAATATGGAACAGCAATGAAAGCAGTACTAGTCTTGCTTTTATTTTGACCGATTTGGCGACCTTACAGTTTTTTTTTCTGTTAGGGTCGTTTATATATCCGTTTATACCAAACACTACCCCATTCTCTATATATCCTGTTTAGGTGGAAAACTACCTCATTCTCCACTGTCATCTGCCGAAAACTACCTCATTCCCTGTTGTCGTCTGCTGACGGTTAACTTTTGGCAGTCTAATAATGAATAAAGGGAATTTCACAACTTCGTGACCCGAAAGTCAGTTAGCGAGTGTAGTAATCGTATGTATTTACCAGATTTATTTATAGATGCAATATTGATGAACAAATGTTAATACTACTACTGCGTGACATTCTTGGTACACATGTTGTTCTTTTAGCACACAGGTGAGTATACGTTCGATGGAACTTGGAAATTCTCTCTTACCTGTGTGCGCATATTTCGGTATGTACATTAAAAATCACTGCACAAATGTTTTAGTGTTCTTTATTTGTTCATGCCCGTGGCATTCAGTTACTATATTTGGGTAATACTTGATATCCTGTATTTGTATTCCATTGTAGGTCCTATATTTAAAATATCCGTGTGTGTATAGTGCCTTTCATTCAAAAATGAATTTTAAAAAATAGAGAAAACCGTGCCAATATGAACAATAGTACTGATTTATGATAGTTTTTAAAATAAATAGAAAAGATGGACAAGAGCTTTCTGAGTGTATGTGTTGTAAGTGTGCATCGTCGCAGAATTTATTGGTGATGTTGTGTATCTCATAATCTGTAAATCTACGAATCCGTAGAGCGTGAACCAGGAACATCTACAAATATGTGCTTACAAGTCAAAGGCTGGTGGCATTTTGGCGAAAATAACTTCTTTTTGCATTCAAACCATCTACTGATACTAATGTTGGTTGTGTTTTGAATAGTATGCTTCTAGTGTTTTACCGTTCTCGTACTCAATAGACAATGGGGTGTAACGAAAAGTGGCTGTATACATAGTAATTGCCTCGTTGTGAACTCTACAGCATGCAGGGTGTCATTAGTTTATAAACGTGCATTACTCTACACAGCAGTCAAAAATAAATAACGTATATAACCTCTGAGTAGAATTACAAATTTCATTCAGTCACGTGCCGTGTCATCGTCTTTGCAATTATATGTTGAATTCACTGCCACATGGCAGAAAACACTGATTTTGATATAATTGGTATGTTTACATGTTGTTTAGGCCAAGAATTAACATGTAAAATTGAGAAGGGAGTCAATTTTATTGTGTCGATTTACAATTTTGGAGGAAAATTCTATCTGGGTGAAGGTTATCGTCTGGTAAATCTGATACTTTTTCATCCATATCGCACTATCTTTTGCAGTGCCTCTAAGCGATGGTTACTTTTTGCTTTCGTCGAATAACAACGTCTGACACGATAACATCATGATGAGGGGAAATTGGCGGGATAATTAGAGTAAATAGGTTAGAATATTTTACCTTTGCTTCAAAATGTCCGTCCTCTTCTTGCCACCAAAATAACAAGTCGGCATCCCGCGTAGTGCCATCGTCTGACATACCAAAGGCGAACCATCCAACCGCATGTGGATGTCGACGTTGTATTCGAAACACCACTTTTTCTTCGGAGAAATTCACATCCCACGATAGATGAACTTGGTCATTTTCACGAAGCGCTAAGTTGTAAGTAAGGGTTTCTTTCGAGCCACTCGAATCATTGTACTGTACATGTTTACTATCGACAGTCTGCACAAACAGAACAAAAATTAAAATCGAGTAAACAACGGTCTTTACAGTCCAAAGCAACTCCATGACACTATGCTGTGAACATTCCGAGTGCGTTGGGTGTACACGTCTTACTAGAGTTCTGCCAGACAAATCCCCGCCTGACGACAACTGCCACGTCAATTTGGCAATAAACACCCCTGTCACGTACTTTTCACGTGCATTAACTACCGACCAGAGGAGAACTTCTAGTCCAGCTCCAAGACGTATTTTAGATGTTCACGTGATTAAAATAAATATTAGTTACATAGGTGGTTATATCAATCGGTCGCTGATGATTAAACAAAATATAGCCACGGTACTATGACCAGCTTTCTGCAACGCACTCGTTCAAGTGACAGTAGGCAATAAGTTGATGTATACTGTTCGCCAACGAAGGTCACGCGAAATACATCTGCGTGTGATATTGACAGACACTTTTCAAACTATGTAGGTGTCCTCCGCCAGCTCACACGATATCAACGATAAAATAGTTTATCACCATAGCCTTATTGGGATGTACAGGAGATTCCATTATCCATGCCAGGGGTGGATGGGGTGGTTATTATTACCACTAGATATTTGCGGCTGCAAGTAATTGCAAGACAAATTTAAGACGAAACATACCCCTCGAGGTTTAATCCATATCAATGATTCTAATAATATATACTATAATTACGATTATTAAAAATTAAAATACTTACATTAACAAAATTGGATTATGTACGTACATGACAGACTGACATCAATATATCTGTTCACATAGCTTGATTATTTAAGAGTATCATTTCGACGTGGGGTTGTGATTTGAATAATAATAAAAATAATAATAATAATAACATTAATGATAATAGTAAAATCAATGACAATGACTGAGTTCCAATAAGACAGGTGTTAAACGCGGTAATATCCGCTAGTGTGCTTTTCTATTTCCGGAGAGGAAATTATTAAGGGTGACATTTTGAACAAATTGATCAATTTACCACTTAACGTGAAAGTCACCATGATGATGAAATTAGAAGTTTATGGGTGAGAACAAAGATACGAATCGCTAGAGCGGCAAATTAACTAATTCTGATGACGCGAGGGGAAAATAGCCCTATCATCACACTATTCATTAAACAGGTACAGAATAACCAATATCGGTTGTCATAGCAACGAGTGATGACGTGAGCTAAACAGACCACATATATTGCATATGTGTAGTCTACCCTTGCCTAGACAGTTACGATGTCAAAACTGGTGGTATAAATGATACAATGATTGCAAATATAAACGTATTCCATATAGAAAACGTAACACCTACAGTAATACGAACAGAAAACTGGAGTTCCATCACCCTAACTACGACATTATGATTGTGTTAACAACTTAAAGACAAGATTCAAAACAACTCTTAAATTTCCGGCTATTTGGGTTAAGGTTATGAAATGTGGCAATATTTATAGATAATAGTTTCGCTTAAAACGGAGTAATACACAGAATTTATTCTATGATTTGTATGCATTTTGGCGCCTTATGTACCTTTGACTTTTCTATGGACTCCCAGAATGTTGCGTGGATTATGTTAATATCAGGCGATCTACGTATTGATTGGAGGCGTGGACATGTGAGCACGTGCACACAATATGTAAGCCGTACAAACTACACATATATTTACAATGCCTGGGCTAAGTTGTAGGAAAACATTCATAATGTTATATTATTTGCAATTTGAAGGGAAAAAAACACAAAATCAAACGTGTATTCTCCAAAAAATCGGAACCATTTTAACGGCAAAGTGTACACTATATATAGTCACAACTGCTGTAATTCCTCTGCAAACACGAGGATTAAAAATTTCGCCGAGACCGCGTAAGGTGAACATAGTATATGTGAATTTGTTCATTAATTGGTCACCATAGCCTCTGTTTATATAACAGTAACACGAACTAAGCCAATATTATAGCAAACCAATGTAAATAATACTAACAGTTTGTAGTAGGATAATATAGGCAGTAGCTCGCAAATTTTGTGCACGTGTGTGGCCAATTTCCATAATCAGTAATACACAATACTGAGCTCGGATGCATACATTTTCTATACTAAACGAAGCATCACCCCCACCCCATCTCCCGCACACACATACGTGCGTTTTTGACTGTGTTTCGGATGTAATTCCCACCATTAAGTCGCCCCTTTCTTTAATATTCTGTTCCACCGTTTAACGTATACGCCGTTTTCTTACTTCTCTATCGGTCACTTGAGTATCAGAGACTCAAAGAAAAAGCCGCCGAACATTTCTAAGGCAGACGATCGTTCACAGTTGATGGGAATTAAAACTACATGTGTTTATGTTTTTACTACATTGAATCGTGACCTAACGAAGTCACGTGACAATTTTCACTGTCGTTATTAATAATATGTACACAGAAATGGGATTGGCAACATCCAGGAGCAGCAAGGAAGAATTATAAAAAAACAATTTATTTATTTAAAAAACTCAAATTCATAAATAATTAAAATAAATTCCGTTCATTTTGAAAACCCTAGGCGAGGGTGAACATTGCCAGCGCATTTACATAAACAGGTTGAGTGAGCCAGTTAAGTGGAAGCATATATACTGGGCAGAATTTGATATGCCGAAAACCCGTTAACAAACAAGCTGCTTTCTGATTGGTCTGATAATTGGGTGTTAAAGTTGGGTAGCCAATCAGGCATAATATTGTATACAGTAGATGTAGATGTAGATGTAAGTTGCACACTGTTAACGAGCGAGAATCTCCTAAATGTAGCGACAGAGAGAAACTTAATCGCTATGAGGGCAAGTTTCATGAATTACTATGGCAATAAACATGTTTTCAGAAAACTCAGTTATAGAAAGTAACGACAGGGGATCCGGGGAATAGTTTATTCCATATTAAGGCATTTCCACGAGTTACTGAACATGTAACTATGGCAATACATATGTTTTCAGAAAGCTGATATATGGGAGAATACGAAATGTTCTTGTTACTATTTGCTTAGTTTAGAAGATTAGGTTACATTAGATTAGGATATGGATATGAAACGCCATATTAGCTCATTGCGCCATGGTAACAAGACTAAGGAGTAAAGAATGTTGACAAATTATTAAGATTTTATGTAGCTTAGGTTGGCAAATTGTTAAAGTTGAAAACTGCACTTTATCAACTAGTGTTGGTGTTTTAGGTAGAAACATTGCACGTGTTATTTGTTTTCTGAATTCCACAAAGGGCACTACTTTACTTTACAATTAGTTCATTTTGAGACACTATCCATCAAAAGGTTATTTTAATTAGTCGACAGATACCTTTCCCCCAAATACTTTAACACTAGTGTTTTAATTAAAAACATGTGTATTTATAATAAAACACGTGTGCTTTTAATTCAATTTTAAAATTTATAAAGTATAGTAACAAGATGCGTGAGGTAACGCGACTGATGACAAAACTCCAAGCCGTCTTGTTTGGCGTTGCTCTTGGTACATAATGTAAAATACATACAACAACCAGTCCGTCACTAATCCACAGTAAACCAAAATTATTGTTTCAGCTTAACTTCTTGAACTCCATTTCCCATCTTAATTCGCTTTGGGTACAGAAAGGTGTTTTCTGAACATGTACGACTTTGATTGTATTACCCCCCCCCCTACACACACACACAAATTAGCAATATTACAATAAGGTCAAGTAACATACAAAAATTCTAAATGTCAAATTAACATCAACGAGACGATATAATTGTCCATTATATGGTTTCTTTATTGACATGGAAATGATGATCGAAAAGGAATAATTTGAGTAACCGGAACAACGATAAGGTGTGAAACATTGTCGATAGAAGAAGTGTAAACGGAAATCAATTATTTTGACATTCTAATATTTAGGGAGTGTAAATCTTCCACATGTTGCGTGCATATTTAAAGTGGTAGCTAAATTATTTACCATGCTAATCAATAAAAGTCCATACCAATGCACACTTGTTTGTACCTTGTGGGCGTGCAGACATTTTGATCGTTAACGACTGAGAATGTATCAGAACGCCAGTAGCTGCATTGTGTGACGTGCATGCACACCATTATGATCGATGGGTCCAGCGGCGGTAATCTGTATCAGCCGACATAAGAGTACCCAACACAAGAACTACTGTGACTCCATTAATAATAAATATTATAAATGTTGAATTTAAATGTTACCAGTGCTGTGATTTATTACATTTCAAACAATACCAATTGATCAACCATATACTTTTAATCAGTGGTTGTCCAATGTTCATTTGATAATTCAATGTGCATTTCCAGCAAAAATAACAGGTAAACTTATGTACTGAATATATTTTGAATGTTATCAGCATATGTGTCAAGTGTGACACCTACCATTTTCAAATGATATGTACTACACAATGAGCAAGATAAAATGGCAAAATGTATTATGTATCTTTGTTTTACTGATTTGATTATGTATTGCATTATTGTCTTCCAGTTATTTGTACACTCCTTTTATGGATAATGGCTTCAATATAGACGTTTTTTTTTTCTTTTTAGATCAGTAATATCAAAGTATGTATTCACCAATGTATGAATAAACAATAGTGACAGGGCGTGTGTTTTTTCTGTATTATCTAAGTACATAGCCTTTGTGTAGATAGTTTTGTGACATGCATTAACTTGATATCTCTTGACAAATTCCATTCCCCGGAAAAGCATGATACAGCATCGTTGATGAAGATATGAACAGGTAGGAGGTTTTCAATTATCGTTATGTGTGCATATCGTCCCGAATGGTTGCAGGCGCTATTTTCGATGCATTTTTTAGAGGATGGTGCTGGTCGGTTGAGAGCCAACCATATATGAATACTTACAGGTAACTTGGAATAGGTCGTCTCAAGGGGTCAAGAACAAATGTGCTATACCACGTAACCATCATGGACAGAGGAAACAGTGTTTTACATTAATTCATACACATCGATGTCTTCATATTTAT